GCAGGGCTGCTCTCGATCCTTTCTTCCCCCAGCCTGTACTGATACTGGGGGTTACCCCGACCCAGGTGCAGGACCTTGCACTTGGCCTTGTTGAACCTCATGAGGTTCACACAGGCCCACCTCTCCAGCCTGTCCAGGTCTCTCTGGATGACATCCCGTCCTTCTGGTGTGTCAACCACACCACTCAGCTTCACTAGAGGCTTAGGTCACTGTAGAAAAGCAGGACATGCTGCAACCCAGTTTTCAACAAAAACAGTAACAACAAAACTTAATGCGGAAATTAAAGCAAGAGCAAAATCTGCAGAATTTTTCTGAACTGGTGCAGTGTTACTAGCATAGCTCACACTGAGGCAACACACCAAGTATTCATCCAGAAGAGTTTACAACACAGAATGGCAGTAACTAGGTGATTACTAACTGCTAATACACATTTCAAGGAAAAAACCTACTGCTATGTCAGAACAGCATGTTTCCCTTCTATGACAACATAATAAGTCCAAGGAATATGGAAGCAGCAATGTGGGTAGCATCTGGACTTCAGCAAGGCTTCTGACAGCACCTTACGTGCTATTTCCATAAGAAAAAAAATGCATATTCAGAACTAGCTTACAATGGTGTAGACAACTCATTTAAAAAACATACTCAAAATTGATTACTGTCAAACTGAAACAATGTATCAAGGGATATCTCCAAGAGTTTGTCCAGAGTCCAACAATATTCAACGGTGTTATTAATTATCTACATGATGCAATATATGGCATTGTTATTAAATATCATGTTACTGTGGGAGGAGTTGCAATGCTATTATAGTATCAGAAGATAAATCAAAATGGTCTTGGCAAATTGCGGGGGGAAGCCACACAGTGGATTTGTTCCTGTTTGTTTTAATAAAGACGAATGTAACATACACTTCGATAGGAATCCTCATCTATACAAGATGGAAAAATTATTTGCTTGCCAGAAGTTCTGCAGAAAGTAGTCTGGAGCAATAATGCATCAGAAAACAAATGTGCATCAACAATATATTTAAATGGCAAGTTTCACAGGTTGATGTACAAAACAAGAGTATCTTTGGTAGGACAGGTGAAGCAATTCTTCCCCCCTCTAGTCAGCAATGACATGGCCTTCATTAAAATCTTATGTCCAGCTTTGGGCATTGCATTTCTAGAAAGATATGAAGAACTGGAGAGAGTCCAGGAAAGGGAAAGAAAAAAAAAAAAAAAAAAAAAGACTGGAGGTCTAGAAAACATGACGTATGAGAAAAGATTGAAAGAACTGGGTTTGTTTAGTCTGAAGAAAGAGATGACTAAAAAGAGACATGATAACAGTCTTCAAATATGTAAAAGATTGTTACAAGAAAGAAAAACTACTTTCCACATATACTCTGGATAGAAGTAGAAACAACAAGCTAAGATAGCAGCAAAGTATGTTTTTTCTAATGTCTAACGGACAGAAAAAGTAAACATTGGAAAGATTGCCACTAGGGGCTGTGGGACCATTAAAGGTTTTTACGAACAAACATGCCTGGAACCAGCCAGGTATAAAAGGTTATCACAGGATTGCTGAATGGACCACAGGACTTCGCGAGATCTTCTTCAACACACTTTTGATTCTGTGTTGTAGGCATAAAACTTAATTCCTTTATTGCTATTTGTGACCACCCGTTGAGTTTAGAGTGACTAGTCTCTTTATCTTAAAAGAAAAGCTGTTCTTTCTAGGAAGACAAGAAATGCTCTGTAGCAAATGCAAGGACCACTGACATTCCTCCAAACTGCCTTCTCCAAACCACAATACGACAGGAGACAACCATTGCCACTCATTACAGATGAGAAACAAGCTGTAGAATTGAACCAGGAATGTGATATGTTTCTGTTTTCAGTGCGGTTTACTTATAAAAGTGGTTTTCCTCTTGCATGTAAGATTTACTCTGTAAGAGGCCTGGCAAGAAAAGATCCAGGAAATTATAAAAAGGAGAGATGATGAAAGTGAAGTTAAAGCCAAAATAAAAAGTTACATCACCTACTAAACTAAGTGCAACAAGTCTTAGGGGGCAAACAAAGCTCACTAACAGGCTAATAGGAATTTTAGTCATTTTGAGTATTGCCAAGCAATATATTTACTGGCCAATATACCACTCAGTGCAAACTACTGTACAAGGTGGCCACTGCTCCTCTCCTCATGCCATACCTCCACAGCTACAGTCAGATGCAACAAAGCTCTTTCTGTTGAAAGGCTGCTACTAAGGCACTTTGCATTTTGTGAGGTCACAAGCTTGTGGACATTGCTTCTTCATCACATATGGCTACAGGCTACAGATGCTAGTTCACAGGGTATGCTGTAAGGCACCTTTCCTCTCCCAGGTCTTCAGAGGATAGGAGCAAATGATTATGAAGCTGAAGGTCAGGAGACCAGGCAGATGCCCTTAAAACGTTACCTACATGGACAGATAGGGTTATGCAAAAGAAAGACAAAATAATGCATCACACATTTCCCAGACAGGGATATTTAACAGTGATTTGGTTGAAGGTGACAGTTTGGTATTTCTTAATGTATTCTTAAATAAATTAACTCAAATTAGACATTAGCTAGAATCCTACAGGCTTGCTTTATTTAAAGATCCTAAAAAGAAGATTATTAATCGTCCAAATTTTTTGCTCAAAGCAACTTCCAGCAATGCGAAGTTTCTCTAAAAGAAAACTTAGGACAAACTTCCATGGTAGTTTGGAACTAGACAAAAATCCATGCCCTCTCACTCCAGTGTAGTAAATAATGTAGTCTTGGTTTGAAGCTGTGCTTTATTTTGCCTCTTCTTGTATTTCTAGACAAAGTACTCCCTTTACTCCATCAGTCTTATTTTTTGACCACTGACAAAATGGGGAATTTGGTTTTGGTCTCTTGTTTTTAGAGTAAGTGGCCACTGTAGAGAGTGCCACATATGACAGAGAGCTGACACATTAGTCCACCCTCCCTTAACTTTGGGAATGTCACTGAATACTGCATTTAAATGGATATGTCAAAAAGTGCCTTCAAGAAGAAGAAACAGAAGACAGATGTGGGGAAAACAAACACAACAGCTCACTCCCACTGCAGAATGTCAGATGAGCAGACAAGAGTCATGCATCACCCAAGGAGCAGGGACAGCTCTTCATGGGCAAGCAGATGGGAACGCAGCACACTTTGGTGAACATGTGGGCCAAGATGCTAAGGAATGGGACAGGGTCATACGCAAAATTTGTCAAAGAGAGAAACAGTTGATTTCAACAGACAAGTTTGATGAGTTGTTGTGAACATTCAGAATACATCTGCTCTCTTACAGCACGCTAGATGAGACACATTATTCCCCCCTCTCACCCCCATCCCTCTGAGCCCAAGGAGGTTTACCAATATTTGGATGCTTTAGGAGTCGGCAGATTCGAGCTTCACGTTCCAGTTTCTGGTGATCTGAAAGAGAATAAGAAACAAGGCGTTAAGCACCACAACTCTGAACTAAGCTCTTGTTCATATTCAATGGAGAAAGGAACACAGTGACCCAGCAGGCATCCAGAGGGCTGGGAATTGCTGGGACATGACTGTCTCCCAAAACCTCACAGCCATTAGCACTGAACTGATATTCCCTCCATGGATTCAAAGCGAGTAGCAGCAGAGTCAAAGACACTGCTCTTCCATCAGCCTCACAAACATGCAAAGCCACTTCCAGTGACTTACACCCTTCTCCAAGGCTGGAGAGGAGGAGTTGTCTCTGAAGAAACAGCCCACACAAAATGGGAAAAGGACCTGCTTCCAATCCAGAGAAACACTGGGAAAGAAGAGCAGAGAAGGAGGGAGAAATACAGAGCTCCTGCTAGTGCACAGCCATCACATAAAGTAGGGAACTCTGCCAGCTCCAGTGAACTGTAAAGGTAACCATACTTCAGTACCCATGGACAGACTCGCTGGTGAAATGCTGATCAAGCACTTCAAGATCTTCAGGCGGGAAGTTCTGCCCAAATGTTACGTATGCTTATTTCAGCCCAAAGGAAACACCCGTTCGAGCACAACTGTCATCTGGATTAAAGAAAAAAAAATATCAAGGAGAGTAAAAAAAATGGTTTCTACTCCCCAGAAACATAATATGCATGAGTGCAAGGAAAGGAGTTAGAGCAAACCTGCCCGTCTCAGCCACCGAGGCACAGGCAGGAGATTTGTCACTACAGCAATGACTGAGTCCTGAACTTTCACTACAAAGCCCCCATCCTCTCAAGGGAAATGCTCACATTGGATAAGCACAGGTTCACTGAAAGGATCCGAGGGAGGCAAATCTTTTAGGCAGCCCTGGCAGCTGCTAAACTCTAGATTTTTGGGGATGCAGATGCCTAGAAAGAGGCAAGAAGCAAGGACTGCCCTTCCTCCCCAGTCCAGCCATAAAAAGAACATAGCAAGGGGAAGCAGCAGTCCCTGCCTGCTGTTGACACTTCTTTTGCAGCAGATCTTCAGCAGACAGGCTTGAAAACACACCTTCTCTGCATCCCCTGTGACATACAATTCTTCTCCGCAGGAGTAAGCAGGACCCTTGGCTGGTTGGGCTACTCAGCAGATAGCTGGTAGGAATGCAGCATCCTCCTATTTATGGGAAACCCACTAGAGACACACTTCAACAAAGCCACACTGCACTGCTCTGCCTGAGAACAGCCTGTGCAGCTCCATCATTTCTGCACGGCCTTCTCTTCCCTTTGTAAAGGCAGGCTTTGGGCAACCTTTCTCCTCCCCATGAGCAGTAGATGGAGACCGAGCCAGATCTCAGCTCAGAACACTTTTCTCTCCCAGGCTGGGAATAGCAGCTCAGGGCACTGCAGGATTTCTGTCTTCTTTCCCACTGCTGAACTGTAGAAAATGTCCCAATTAATATTTTATAGGGCTGAGATGTGCTTACATCCTCATCTGCTACTGTTCAGGGATGGGGGAAGGTAAATTACTCCTTTCATCTCTCCTTCCTTCTCAGATAAAGCAGCAGGCAGCAAGAAAGCCTGGAGAGCTTCCATGCTCCGGAGGCCCTGGTGCAGTGCAAACGCCTTCTCACCTGCATTGCTGGGGAGGGGTAGGGTGCCTTGGCTTCCCTTTTAGCAGCATCTCTCACAAACGAAGTTTTGCAGAACACAGTCACAAGGTAACAGACTGTGCTGCATATTTTGCACTCAAGCCAGATTCTCACAGCAGGACCACAGTTTAAGATAAAATTCCATAGCCCGCTTGCACGCCTGGGTCTTGCAAATTCCCCACTTACCCTCCCAGCTCTACTTGGAACTCCCACAGAAGGGGGATCCTTCATCCACCCGGATCACGTTGCCCTCATGTGCAGTTACACTTGCTGAGAATATGTTCCCAAGTACAAGGACACGGGGAAGCAGACAGCAAAAACAGCTGAGCAAAGGGGGAAGAAGAGGTAAGACCTCACCACGTGCTACTCAGCCACTGAGTCCTGACAGCCAGGACAGACAGCTGACAGGAGCAAGGCTCAAACAAAATGACATAACCATCAAAATGCCACGGGAGATGTAAATCAAGAGCAATTGCTCCCCTGAAATCCTACACCGTCGTGCCGAGGGAGGGGAGCGGGCAGGGCAGTTAGTGATCATGGGCAGCAGCCACACCAGAACTTGTGACAAGAGGTCATCACCCCACACCCCATCCCTCCAGCACCACACAGCCTGGCCGGAGACCAGAGGAGGAGTACAGCGCTCTGGTCACAAGGTACAGGAAACTATTTCTGGTCAGGGGGAAAGCATACCACACTCTTCTGTCTCCAGGGCAACAAAACAGGCAAACTCAAGCACAACTCCCAGAGAGAAAGCACACTCCAGCCCCGGGAGCACCAGCCCGCAGCAGCCAGCCGCCACGACTGAGAGCAGCGAAAGGTCAGGCTGGGTGGGTTTCCTGCCACGGGCCCGGGAGGATCACGGATCCCGTTCCCACAGGATCACCTGTCCCATTGCAGGCGGTACCAGAAGACAGCCCAACCTGTGACTTGAAAAGAACTGCCCCCCGCCCCCATCCCCAAAGAGAGCCCCTTTTTAAATCTTTCTTCACTGTCTGGTGGCCTTCGGCACAATGTAGGCATTTTACTCTTAGGCCAGGGATCAGTGGCAGAGTTGGCTTGGTACTTGAGGGGAACAAACTGGTACCTAAAAGCATAAGGAATAAACACAGAGCTGCAATTTTTCTACCTTTCTCTGGTCTAACAACAGTTATTCCCAGTAGGAGAAAATTCTCCGAGTCCAGTAGAGCAGTCAAAGGCTGAGATTTAACACGTCTCTTATATGGGGTCCCACTAAACATTAAAAATGCAAAGTATTCTCAATTGTATTAGAATAACAATGAAAAGACAACATGGGTTCAGATCCCTGCCTTACCGAGAACTTGCAAAGCAAATAATTTCTTCTCCCTCTGCCCAAAAGATCAAACTGATTTCTGCAAGCTGTTTGTGGAGTGGAGGTGTTTATTCTTACTGAACAGTGGAAGCACACCTCATAGCTAACAGCAACACCGCAACGCATCCCAGGCCTGGGACATTATTAGGCTGATTTCCCACCTTTCCCAAACTATGAAATTCAACCAGCAATTTCCACAACTTGCCTAAACCACAGTATATCCTTTAGAAAGCATAAGGGTTCACACTCAAGACTTCAAGTGATAAATAAAGCCATACACCCACAGCAGTTACTCCAAATGTTAGTTCTCCTTCCTGTTAAAATTTAGCACTGCTGTTCCAAGTCTGAATTCATCTCCCTCCTGCTTCCAAATATTGGGTTTCATTAAGCTCTTTTCCTGCTACGTTACAGAGCTGTCTAGCCCTGAACAATAGCTGATGCTTAAAACTTAAGTACAGGATATTACAAACACTCATCTAATATTCATTTAATGTTTTCCAGCCAAAAAAAAAAAAATAATCCTGCTATTTGGGCAATTCTTCTATCTACAGTCTGAAGAAATTAGCATCTACACGGACAGAAAAGTGCAGTCCACGTAGCTCTTTTTGTAGCAAAATTTAAAATGTAAAAATTTAAGGAGATGGTGCTTAATAACAGCAGGAGAAAAACTTCTCGTGTTTGATACACAAACTAAGGTCTTTTTATTTGTCCTTTATATGAAATTATTTCTGCATCTTGGTTCAGCGTATGAGATGACATTTAACCCAAGTACCCTTAACATTATCGCTCTGCAAATACTGCTCTAAGGGTCATTCCAGTAACATTAATACTGTGTTTCTTCAGAATATAGCTGATAAGAAACTGCCCGTTGAGAGAACTGGGATTTCTTTGGGTTGGGTTTTGATTTGCCTAGGGATTTACTTTAATAGAAAACAAGACTGATTTTGTTCGCATCATTTGTGAGAGTTAGGGACCTGCAAAAATGAAACTGCTTCATTTTACACAAACATGCAGTCCACTCACTGGGACAGGACTGCTCGTGCACGATGCATGACAGAATTGGCCGTGCACAATTAGTAACGTCACAGCTGTAAGAACCTCTAACTGAGCAGATTAAAACAAAACCAACCCTGCCTGAGTACAGAAGACAGCAGACCAAAAACCACAATAGTTTGGCCTGAATGTCCTAAACGCATCAAACTTCAGCAGATAAACAGTGATGAAAGGTGTACCCAACAGAAATAAAAACCAAAATGCAGACAGCTTTACTTCACAGAAACCTGATAATCTCCAGCAAGGTGGGGAACATGGCTATTTTTATATTGAAGCACATTTCCTACTCTTTCATAAAAAAATCCTTTCATTGTCTGATCACTTCAGTCTGTTACCCCAAAGACGCAGTGGCAGAGATCGATGAATAACATAAGACCCAACTTCTGGGCTCCACGCTTCTCCAGGGAATCACTTCCCATTTTTCTACTCTAGCCAGTACCTGCACGGCTGCTTTGCAGGTTTTTCCTCACCAGGTCTTTCTCCTCCAAGGGTACCAGAGGCCTGGAGGAGCACATTTTCAGACACATAGACAGGGCACAGGACATCTATAAATCCCAGTAGTCTAGAGCTGTCAAGCGAGAACATTTACATAACAACAACAAAAAAGAAACGATTAAGAAAAAAGGTCACTGTGCCTAATAAGCCTGTTAGGGAGCTGTGCTGAGGAGAAGGGGCTGCCAGGGAGGCACAGGGAGACCTGTCTGCGTGGAGAGGAGGTACGCTTGCAAAAGACAGAGTCTGGAGACCTGCAACAAACCCGAAAAGGAGATCAGTCCCAAGCAAGTGGGGTGAAGGCCGAACTTGAGCCGGGGAGCAGGAGAAGATGGTTAGGTGTCAGGTGCCGACACTGCCACCCTGCACAGGCAGCACAGCACGAAACCTTCCCGGCTTTGGGCATAGCTACGATGTCCTGACTGACTCCTGCTCCCAAGAGATGCGGAGAGGGGTTTTGTTTCAGCTGCAGGCAGCTGCCATGCAAACACG